AAAAAAAAAAATAAAGATATTGAAAAAACAGATAAGGTTCAAAATTATAGTAATAAGAAAGATGGAAAAAGAGGAATAAACACTAGAGATGTCAGAATTTTGGTGGCCGTGTGGTTGGTGACAGCGAGAGCTAGTGTTTGGTGGGTCTTGGGAAAGAGAGTTAATTATGAGGGGAGAGAGAAAAAAAGGTAGGAAAGACAGAAGATGAGGATTAGAAGAGGGTTTTTTTTTTTTCTTTCTATTTTTAGGTTGGACGTGCCCCTTTATAAATTAACTATTAGTTGAAGGATACTTAAGTCATCTCAACAAAACAAAGGAGGTTAATGTAATTTGTAAAGATTGAGGAGACCTGAGCGAAATTATCAAACACTTTAGGGGAGGTACCTTTTGAAGTTATCCTTATAAAATGACTTGAAAACAGGAAGAAAAGTACGTGAAATATGCAATATCATGATGGAATCTGAGCGCCACTAAAGGCTTCAATTTGTCAATTGCTAATCAATACTTTGCAGTTTGTACCAAGAAAGTGGAACCACGGTAATACGTACCACAATAAAATAATGAAAGTCGTGTTGTTGCACAAATAGGGTGGCTGAGTTGCAAGCATCAGCTCACATGGCTGATTGTTATTACATAAATATGAAAAAACGAATCATGACATTGGCATTCTAAAAAAAAAGTGCAAATACTCTAACCTTACTGATTATTATTAAAAATTACACAAACACCGGTAAACTAGACTCTTTAACAATTTTAAATATAAAAATTACCCTCAATGCATAGTTTAAAGATGATTTTTGCATTACTTTTATGAAGAGTTCTACACTCTTGAATCCAAAATTTTAATTTTAATTTTTAAAACATTGTTTAAAAGTGTTAAATAACCTAATAAAAATAATTAAAAAGCCAAAAAGTAATAAAAAAAGCTCCAAACCACAAATCTTGTACTTTATTCAAGAGCAACTAAACAATTGATACTCACGCAAAATTTTTTGAATCATCGATGTTAAAAGTTTCATCTATTAGTAGTTGTATATCGATTTATGACTAACTTAAGAGCAGGAAAGAGTTAAGTGAATTGAAGAGATAAAGTAAAGAAAGTTATTAGTGAAGAGATAAAGGGGCAAATTCAGTGACGGAGCCAGGATTTTTTCCTTGGGGGGCCAAAATTTTTTCAAACAAAATTACCTTACTATGTTATGTTTAAAATAATTTTTATTTATTTAAATATATGATATCTTAAAATATCAACTATTAACTTAAATTATAAAGGTATGTCTATTTCATAAATATGTAACATAGTTATAACTAAAATTAAGATAAGAAATAACATTTGATTAAATATCTTATAACATCACAAACCACGTAAGTTGTACATTATGAAAAGATACTCCAATATGTCATTTGTGCAAAAACAAAAATATGACTATACAATATAAATATAACTATTTTCAATTAAAAAAGATAAAAGTTATTTTAACATACCTTGAAATTTCATCCTCTTTTATTAAAAGTAAATTGAGATTTACGTTCTTTCATAGAACTAAATTCATGTATAATTGAATCAATGCTAAATTTTTTAATAATGACAGGTGTCGAGCCTGTGCAATAATAATTACCTACTCGAGAAAAAATACAAATTTTGTATATAGCGGTGAGTAGGGTCGAATTCACAGGGATTGGGGATAGCTTATTTCTTTTAGAGTTCGAAGTATGGGGGGTTTGTGGAGAATATAAAATAACTAATTAACTAACTAATAAAACAACTAATAGAAATTAATCAATAACCAATACGACTCTAGCCAAAGGTACAACTTTTTAGACACGGTCCATTTAACTGATCATCGATACAAAGATAATTCAATTACTCATTACTATATTGGTTATAGTTGTCATACACGCGATGAACAGCTAGCCTTTCCTTAATTTCTCGATAGTTAAGGTACGACCGTTAACTATTTCTCTAACCAAGAAATAACCCTAGGTACGACCGTAGGATTTAATTACTCGATTGCATTAATAATTAGAAAAACCCAACCCTAACCAATAAACACGCTACGAGGGTTTGTTTAAATTAGATCATACGTTTCCCTAACATGAAACCAATCACGCTAGTCGCCACTGGTATTAACCAATTGAACAATTACGGATTCAATCAATTAATTTGGCATTAGATCATTAGGTTAATTCGAATATCGGGCCCTTGACATTCAAATAACATAACAAGCATAAGCAATTAAATCAGAAGACGTACAAATACCAATGAATAAAAGAAATAAATACAATTAATTCGATCTCACAGATATTTAGAACCGCGCCTTCGACTAAATGAGAGGCTTAGCCACGCCGCATGAGAAAATCGCCACGCAAATTAATTAATTGCAAAGGCATTAAGTTTTTCACTAGGAAATGAGAAATAAAAGATGTTTTTTCCGACGGGGAATATTGTCGAACAGTAGGCACGCGCCTAACAAGGAAAAAGAAAGAAAACTAAAAACTATGCTAAAAACTAAGCATCCCTAGCCTCTGTACATTTGTCTCTTAAAAGCAAAATGACTCCATAATGCTTTCTCGTGGTCCCCACGCAATTAAGAAAGGAGTGTACATAAAGTGAAGTTCTTTGAAGTCCTTCTTTCTTAGTTTCCTCTTGATAGTCAAAGACTTCAATATTCCAAGATACTCCTAATCCGCGAAAAAAGAAGTGCAATCCGGTTCCAGTACCACGTGGGCCAGGCTCGTGGATAATTTGAAGTCTCCCACGCTCGGAGTCTTTTCCTCAAGATGGTTTCCCTTTTTTTAGCATTTTTCAGGTCCACTTCCTGCAGATAGGTCCAAATACCAAATATAAGTATATATTAACAATTAAACAATATTTGGCAAGGACAATGGGAAAAATTAACAATAAAATTACTAACAATTAACACCCTATCAAATAACTTCTATTTTTTATGTACATTGTTAGGCAATTATTCAAGAAATCATCTTTTATCTTATTTTGGAGGTTTGTTTTGATTATCTTCATAATTGAAAATGTACATTCTATAGACTATAGAATGGAGCCAGGATTTTTTCATTGGGAAGGGGCCCAAAATTTTTTCAAATAAAATTACCTTAATATGTTATGTTTAAAATAATTTTCATTTATTTAAATATATAACATCTTAAAATATCAAATATTGATTTTAATTATAAATGTATGTCTATTTCATAAATATGCAGCATAGTCATAACAAAAATTAGGACAAAAAATAACCTTTGATTAAATATCTTATAACATCACAAACTATCCAAATTGTATATTATGAGAAGATGCTCCAATATGTCACTTGTGCAAAAACAAAAATATAACTATGCAATATAAATATAACTATTTTCAATTAATAAAAGATAAAAGTTATGTTAGCATGCATTGAAATTTCAACCTCTTTTCTAAAAACTAAATTGAGTTTTACGCTCTTTCATAGAACTAAATTCATCCATAATTGAATTAGTCCTAAATTTTTAAACAACTACCTTTTTTTATGTACATTGTTAGACAATCATTCATGAAATTATTTTTTATCTTGTTTTGGAACTTTGTTTTGATTATATTCATAATTGAAAATGCCCGTTTTATAGTTATAATTGACACAGGAAGAGTGAGAATAAATATAATCAATATGTCAACAACAAGATGGATCACTCAATTTCTTATCTTCACCAAACCTTAAAGTAATTATTTGTATACTTGTATATGGGTCAACAAGAGGATATATCACTAATTTTAAATTTTTTATCAATTAGGCAAAGTTGTATATTTGTATATGGACCAATAAAGTAATTATTTTTGTTTTAACCCATTGATATTTATGAATTGAGTCTTTTATTATAATAAATCAAATTGGGTCAATTTACTTTGGATCATCAAATTATATGTTTAATTTTTTGAACATTAAATAATTAGCACAATAAAAAATAAATAACTGTTTTTGAAGAAAAAATTAAATCAAAGGTGGCTAATTCATACGCACATAGATATATATATATATATATATAAACTCTCATAATATAAACTAAAATTGTTAAAAATTAGGGGTGGCCAACTTTGTCTTATACATATATTTACATATTATGAATTAAATTTTTCAAAACTTATGGCCCCCCTCAGCCCCCCTTGCTCCTTCATTGGGCAATTTAATCTCCCAGAATATTTTATAAATTTTTGTGTCATTTCATTAAGCAAAAAAACAAGGGTGGAGTATATGGAGTTTTTATCGGAATGCCAATATCATTTGTCTAAAAAAAATCAACATCTGAATAATTTTAGTCGTCAATTAATCAAGGAAGGGTCATCTCATACTACTACTTGCTCAGTTCTCAACTGCTAATCGCTGCCTAGCAGTTGGCACTAACCATCAAGACAGTGGAACCAATATATTAATACTACAGTAAAACAATGAAGTCGGGTTGTTGCACATGTTTAGATCTAATTTGATAATTCAATTCATCATTTAAATTTAATGGATTCAGATCTTAACATATTCAAATGTATTTGATAACAAAAAATTGAATATTTGAATTAATTAAGTGATACTGAATTTACCAGGCAAAACTTATTTCGAAATATAAGTGATAAGCAATTCACTTATTGCTAAATCTGATACACACTCAAATATATTAGATTTAATATTTAATAATTTAATAATTAATAAATTCAAATTTTAAATTTCAGTTTTTAAACTTCAGGTTTATCAAACGTATCATCAGTCTCTAGACTTCCGTTTCCATAATTTTATTTTCTTTTCTGGCCTTTGAAATTCAAATGGGGTCGTTGAGTTCGAAACATCAATTCACATGGCGGATAGTTTCGTGTATGCATAAAAATCATCTTGATTAATTAGTCGTCAATTATTTATTTTATTTTGGTCAGAATACTAACAATATGCATGTGACTACAACTCTACAGTAGGTAGAAAACGTTGTTGTAAGACGACTTTTTGCATTCTTAAATTTTAAAGATAATGGCTTCTGGTGGTGGCGGCGCGGCTTCTAGTTTGGATCGCCTTGATTCTGTTTTGGGAGGGTTGTGGCGTCGATCGGTCACTGCAGAGCAGGTCTACAAGGACTGGAGGGTTCTGAGGATTCTTTGGGAATCCAGTCATAAGGGGAGTGATGCAGGCATGGTTCGAAGTCTCGGCCGAGACCGAGACGACTCGGCCGAGTCGTCACCGTCTCGGCCCCTACCGATACGATACCGTGATGAAACGATACCGAAATACTTGACTCGTCGAGAAATCGGCCAAGTCGTCACCGCGACGGATTGACTCGGCCGAGTCACACCGAGTTACTCCGAGTTATCCCGAGTCAAGACGAGAAATCAGCCGAATCACACCGTGACGGATTGACTTGGCCATTTCTTTTGCTATTTTTTAATTATTTTTATTTAGCCTACTTTTTTATATTATTAACAATTTTTAGAATATTAAATACTTTACAATTTGTGTCTCACCGAGACCGCGACCGATATGCCGAGACCGATGTGGAACGTCCCGGGCCGCGCCCGCGACCGCGACCGTGACTTTAAACCATGGATGCAGGTCTCAAGATTGAAGCTGCAGCCGAGGAGATTGCCCATGCCCATGATTCTGTTTTGGAAGGGTTACGGCGTCGATCGGTCACTGCAGAGCAGGTCTACAAGGACTGGAGGGTTCTGAGGATTCTTTGGGAGTCCTGTCATAAGGGGAGTGATGCAGGTCTCAAGATTGAAGCTGCAGCCGAGGAGATTGCCCATGACCTTAATCGTATTTCTGATGGAGAGGAGGAGGACAATGAGGTTCCAGAATCACAGTTCCTTCTCCAGTTAGCTCGTGATTGTGAAACAAAAACCAAGCGATTGATGGCTGAAGTTGGAGAAGCTCTTGACTATCTGTACTCGTCGTGCTCAACAGGAGGGAGCACCATCAGCAGCTCACTCCAATCACAGCTGATGCCTCCTGCAACTCTTGGTGTTTCCTTTTGGCCACGATTTGTCAGCCATGCACAATCAAACGTGCTCAGAATCAGGCAGATTGTGCTAGATCACTTGGTTCATGAACACTTTGGTATACGGGATCAAGTCTTTACCTTCTACAACAGTCTAAAGTCCATCAAGCGTTACTTTGGTCTATTACTAATCGATCCCAAATTCCCATACCTGGGAGGAGCAGGGGCAGGAGCAACAACAGATGATGCAGTGCCTGGTATTGATGCCTCCCTCGGTCATGTGGTATCTTTGGTCCTTCGGATTGCAAATCGGTGTTCTGATCACTGGTTGGATTGCAAAACAGGCCGGATCCAAGTGGAAAAAGGTGAGCTGAGTAAGTTCATGGAGGATTTGCACCATGAGATTCATCCAAGAAATCCCAATTTCATGAGGTTCCATCTCAATTTCCTTTTGGCTCTCTGCTGCAGTAATAATAACGAGGATGAGAAGATGGATATTGTTATGCAATTCTGCAACTATCTCTTTAATTCTGAACATGGTGATTTTCGAAAAGAGGTGTCTTCCCTGGTAACTCTTTTTGTTGACGCTACAACTAAATTAAAGAACAAGGATGCAGTACAAAGTTTCTTTCCAGAAATCAATGCAATGCTCGTTGAGATGGCGTCGCTCTTTGAAGCGAATAGTCGCAAGGGGCATAAACTAAATGACTCTCCTCAGTGCTCTGAGTTACTTACAAGAATTTGTCTTCTCAGAGCAGAGCTTTCCCTCGTGGTGCAAATTCGTAATATGAGCAAAATTAGCAGCAATTTGTCATCCTCCTCCAGTATGCTTTCAGATTGGAAAGATATCCCGAGAAATCTGAGCATATATTCCAAAAATTTACCCCTTGAGAAGATTGAGGATGGGGAAACGATGTTGGCATTCACTGAATCATTGTTTGAGGAAGTAGAATCTCTTCATCAGTCATTTAGGGACAAGAAAATCACTGGACCTATAGTGAAGAACTCACTTCTCCTACTTTTTTTTAAGATTGTGATTTTCAGGGAAGAGTTGTTTCTAACGGAGTTATTACTGTTGAAAAGTGACCCAACTCCCATGGCTGGTGGGAAAGATCGAATTGTACTTCATCTTCAGAACCTTGAGTACTTTTCACTAATTCTCTCAGATGAGCGAATGAAGAATAGAAAGGACGTCTTCAGAGCCTTCAAACCAATTGAAGTTTTTTTCAGGAGTCTAACAATTTTCAATCATTCTTTTCTTATCGCACAAGATGAAATGATCCTTTCATTTTCTCAGCTGTTAGATAAGATGAACCAGTTGATGAAGGCAAAGTGCAAAGAGATAATTCCCCAATTTCCACTGTTTGCTTTCCCTAGGACTTTCAGACTGAATTTGAATTTCGTTGATTCTCTGTCAAGAAACCTTGTGGAGCTGCTGAAATATGATCCTGTGTCAATTGCATTGGTGAAGCACCACATTGAAGAAATTCAACTACATCTCCAGTCATTGAGTTCTTTTCTTGTGGATGTTTCAAAGTTACAGATTGAAGAGGATCGGGAGCTGAAAGATATTGGTAATCAAATCATCCATTTGGCGTATAAAGCGGAGTATGTGATTGATTCAATTGAGGTTGATGCTCAATGGCAGGATTTCTTCTGGTTAAATGACGTACTGCAGGAGCTAAGAGTTGTTAATGAGAAGGCCTGTGGAATTCAGTTGACCATCGGTGATGCTAAAGTCCTAGATCCCGAAAATGTGACCCACGTTTCACGCGGTACGTTTCCAAGGGATGGTACACCGGCGATCGATGAAATTGTGGTGGATCTCAGTAACAGAGAAAATGAAATTCTCAACCAGCTGACTAGAGGATCCTCAAGGCTGGATATTGTTTTTATTGCTGGAATGCCTGGTTTGGGCAAGACAACGTTGGCGAGGAAGGTGTACAGCAGTCTTAAAGTCATGTGTCACTTTCATCTTCGTGCATGGTGCTCTGTTTCCCAAGAATATGAGAAAAGGAGATTGTTGCTCGAAATTCTAACAGGGATTCATGGGCTTACAGAAGAGATTCGCCAAATGAGGGATGAAGATCTCCAAGATAAATTGCGTGAGTTGTTAAAGAGAAACAAGTATCTCGTAGTTATGGATGACGTTTGGGGTATTGGAGTTTGGAACGACTTGAAAAACTCATTCCCAGATGATGGAAATGGAAGTCGAATACTGTTCACCAGTCGCCTCCACAGAGTGGCCTTGGAAATTAAACCAGACAGTCGTCCTCTTTCTCTTAGCCTTTTTTCTCATGAGGAAAGTTGGCAGCTGTTAGAAAAGAAGGTATTCAAGGTAGAATGTTGCCCCAAAGAGTTAGCGGCAGTTGGAAAAGAAATTGCTAGGCAATGTCAAGGATTGCCTCTTGCAATTGTTGCTGTAGCTGGTATACTGAAGATGACAGAAAAGAGCCGAAATTCATGGAAGAAAATAGCAAACAGCTTGAGCTCCCAGGTACTCAATGGCCCAGAAGCTCAGGGCCAGTCAGTCCCAGAACTAAGCTACCAATACTTGCCCGAGTATCTAAAACCATGCTTTCTCTATATGGGAGTTCTTGGTAAAGACAAAGATATTCTTGTTAGCAAGTTGATTCAGTTGTGGCTTGCAGAAGGGTTAATACCAAAAACGCAGACAAAGAGCTTTGAAGATTTGGCAGAGGATTTTTTGATGGAGTTGATTGACGCAAGCTTGGTAATAATCTCCAAAAGAAGATCCAATGGCAAAGTCAAAGCATGCCGTCTTCACTCTTTTATGCTTGATTTCTGTCTGTCAAAAGCCGAAGAAGCAAACTTCTTTCAGTTAGTAACCAGGTGTGATAAGCCATATGCTTGGTTTCCCAGTTCAGATTATAGTTTTGAATTTGATTTTTACCATTTGCCTCCTGTTTCATTTGCATCCTATCGGTTGGCTGTAAGTCTGAAGCAAAATCATTTTCTTGGATCAAGACCTTCTGGCCTGGGCACCCGTTCTTTGGTTTTTTTTGCCTCTACAGATTCCAAAACTAGACGGCCTTACGACATCTCATTAATTTTGCACAACTTTAAATTACTTAAGGTGTTGGATTTCGAATGCATGGACATGGCTTCTTTTCCTGTCGAAATTGGACTACTGATTCACTTGAGATATTTAGCTGTTGGGGGGTATGTGACATCTATTCCAAAATCATTAGGCAACCTCAGGAAACTGGAAACTCTTATTGTGAAAGGATTGAGTGGTAAGATCATCTTGCCAGATACGATTTGGAGCCTGACAAGTCTGAGGCATCTTCATGTGAAAATCCATGTTGCTTTCAACTTGGATGATGCAGTGTCTGAAAACTGCTCTGTTTTAGAAAATTTGGTCAGTTTTTCCTGCCTGTCTCTTTCTTGTGGTGAAGATGCAGAAAGGATGCTGAAGAGGTTTCCAAATCTTTGCAAACTGAGTGGCATATTCTATGAATCACCAGATTCTTCCACGAACTGCAATCAGTTTCCGAGATTGAAATGTCTAACTCATTTGGAGTCACTCAAGATATTCTACTATGGAAGCCCTCTTAACAATGGCGAGTTCATCCTCCCTTTGAATCTAAAGAAATTGACTTTATCAAACTTTCGCCTTCCATGGAGTCATATCTCCACAATTGGGAGACTACCAAACCTGGAAGTTCTCAAGTTACTTTCTGGTGCCTTTGAGGGGATGATATGGGACGTGGAAGAAGAGTTTCAGAATCTTAAGTTCTTGAGCTTAGACAATTTGAACATTGTTCAATGGAATGCCTCTTGTGATGATTTTCCCAAGCTTGAAAGACTTGTCTTACAAAAATTGCAAAGACCTTGAAGAAATTCCGTCGGATTTTGTGGATATACTTTCACTGCAATTGATTGAAGTGAATTGGTGTGGACGATCTGTCGAAGGATCGGCCCTGAATATTAGTAAAGAAACAGGAGAGGTCAAAGTCGTTATAAAGAGTTCATATTGGAGATCATGATCAGCATGAATTGGATAAAACCTCTTTATACTTCCTCTGATCACTCGTAAGTCTATTGTATGAATTTTCAGCAACCTACCCATTTTCTCCATTCATTTGTGAAATGAAATTCCTCTTATTTATATTTACTGGAGTACATATGCTAGCTGAAAAATATAGATAACTAGAAATTGTTGGGACTCATTGAATGTTATTCTGTACATGCCAGCAGTAATTCGGGTGTTTAGGTTGTCAAACCTTTATGCCAATTTCAAAAATAGCCGCTTTCATTTTAACTTCTTATCTAACGTTTAGGCTTGAGAAATCACGTTTGATTCTTGTCTTCTGAGACCATTTTTCTTGCCCTTTCCCAGGTCTGTAGCTGGCAAGGCTCAATCGAAACTTGAGAGCCCCTGTTCACCACAAGCAAGAACTTTTGGCCAAGCTTTGCCTTACACTGGAGCTTTCCCTTTTCCATGCTCTGTATTGTGCTTTTGATCTTTGGAACGAATGTGACAATGTGATTTATTTTGATTACCTACTTTTTTTTTTCGCCTGCTTTTTATCATATAGTGGGTTGTTTATTTTGAATTTATCATACAGTGCCTGCTTGTAGATGTGTTCTGAGAATGTTTGTTTGATGAAATTGAATTACAGTTGCCTTTCATCATCAAGGACTTTCCTTTTTCAGTTTATTTTTTGTAATTATAATCACACACACATATTTTTTATCTTGGCAGTAGGGACAATTTATGCTAGGTTTGGAGGATTTATTTGATTGGATATTATTTAGGGTAAATTGATTGGATATTGTTTACAGTAAATTGCCTTTTATCCTCTGTAGTTTGGTATTTTATCACATAACCCCCTTATTGTTGAACATCCTATTTATAACCTTCTCATGGTTTGAGTTAAAATGTCATCGTTAAAATTAACGGTCAATAATGAAAAGTCAAAGTCAAATTAATAAATTAACAAATTCATTCTTCCACTACTTTTTTGCTTTTTTTTTCTTTTTTCCTTTTGTTTCTCTCTCATTTTTTTTTGGGAAGAGAAGAGTTGATTTTGAAAGCCTATATTTTGGCCTACAAAAACTTAATTTTCTCCAAATACAAAAGAGATGGAAAGGAAATGAAAAAATAAATAAGAAATAAAAAGATGGAAGGGAAATATAAAACAAATAAATAAGAAACAAAAAATATGAAATATTTTTTAACTACAAATATCATTATAGGTGTTTAAACCAAATCTTTAATGATATTCTCTAGTTCTTATTTATATATTTTTTTTATTTCAATTGTTTTCCTTTTTATGTTTGGAGGAAAAAAAAGGGTAATGAAAGGATAACTTTGTCAATTTATTAATTTGACTTTGACTCTCTACTATCCATTGACCGTTAGTTTTAATGAAAAACTAACAGTGACACCTTAACCCAGAACATGAGAAGGTTATTTATAGGTTTTTAAACCATTGGAGAGTTTTATGATAAATCACCAAATCACAGGGGGTAAAAGATAATTTACCCCATTATTTATTGCGCCTAATGGCTATAAAAGTTGAATGTGCCAACCTACCCAATATATTTTAGCAAAACTCAAGCATGATTATTGAATTGTCTTAAGAATTAGCTTTTTGTAATTCTGGTAAAAAAATAAATATTACTATGATATTAAAGTATCAACACGAACAAATATAACATTTGAAGTACACTTAGATTACATAGATTCATTGTCTACCAAATTTTTTTTTTTTAAATAAACAGTTTGATACAATAATTCTCAAATTATGACAATCTAAATACAGGTAGATAGTAATCAACATAATAAGAAAGTTAGGAGGGATGTTCTTGTCACCTTCCTATTAGACCATTAACAAACCATCAATGCCTCAATATGAAAGTTTCTGGGTTCTTAAATTAATTGTTCATATATCGAAAAAAAAAAAAATGCGAGCAGAAATGTGCATAGTAAAACGTTTCGACTCTAACCATTGCATGGAAATGGGGTAATTTGTGAAAGAAAAAACGTGTTTAACAAACGACCGACTTCGACTAACGTTATGAAATAAAAGAATTTGAAGAACGTTTCCACAAATGGAGGTTGTTAATTATTTAATAAGCACTTCAATGCTTATGGAGGTTTCCTGCATTGCTTTACAATAACTTTCATTAAGTAAATATGCCGAAGAATAAATGTTTAGCTCCATTAGCCCACAAAATACAAGCTAGAGAATGCACTTTAAGTCGCTATTAATAGGACTTATGTGTGAGAGAGAAAGAACTAACACTTTAAGGATTATGCAGGTCTTTCGAATTTCTTTATAGGATTAATTTTATATACGCTGCCAATGTATATATATATATATATATACTATCACCATTAGATATATAATACATGCATAAAATTTAAATTTAAAATTTAAAATTTCTTCATGTATCATCCATCCAATCATGATAATATATATAGTGACAGTGTATATAAAATTTACTCTTTTTTGTAGCCCCAATTCTTGACTGTGTTAGTACATAATGCATCTAGCTAGCACTAAATCATGATTTTCAAGAGGATCTGCACACATAGGCATGGCATATTCCCAATATACTTATTCAACTTTTAGCAACAGCAGAGGGCCTACAGGCAAAACTTTTCAACTATGTTTTTTTTTTTTTTTTTTTCGTGTGGAAACGATAGGATTCAACTATGCTTTCTTGACAGGTAACCTTTTACACATTTGGTAATGACGAAACTCCTACTTTACTTTCTGTTGAAACTAGAGAGCTAATCTCAAGGCCTGGACCTTAAGTCATGTTACAATAAATAAAATCAGTAAGGACCATGAAGACTGTTTGATCTACAGCCTACATCTAATACGTGAAAAGTCGTCTGATTTCATTAATGACTATTAAGCATTGTAGAGCTGTCAAAGTATGTCGACTACAGCATGCTCAGTGTAAGTAAAATTTAGTCATTATTCTTGCATGTGAGGGTTTAAGGAGACAAAGTAGGAATTTTGGATCCAATTTATTACAAAATAATAACAAAAAAGAGGATTTAACCAGGTTGCGACTCTAATTTGACATGATAGCCAGTACCTCGAATACCAAGAAGTATACTGTACTTCGAAAGGACTGAGGATTTGTGATGAGGGACAGCACAAAGAAATGCTTTTGTTCTGCACAAGTTTGCAGAGAGGAAGAAATTCTGATGCACAGTGACTAATGAAATTCCAAAGACCTGTGTACTTTCTAGTGATTATCAAAGGTAAATGAAGTATGTAAAACTTAATTAGTTTAAACATCTTCAATAGATCTGCAGTCAACTTTTCCATGCCTTGCCTATAATAAACTCTCAGTGGTTCATTATTATTTGTTTCAAGTAGTGACCATACATTGTGACAAAAGAGTTTGTTTCAAATTTACTGGATCAAGGGCCACAGTCTTCATTATGAAAATAATTAGGTATTCATTGTTATGTTGTATATGCAAGTGCACAAATTTTATTTGTCTTTCAACTATATAGAACATAAACTCATCATGGTAGCCAATAGAACTTGATTGTGTACTGAGTGATGCTTCTTGACACAAATTCACGGTTCCAAAATACTGCATCTTCCTCTATATTCACCTTGTGTACATGTGATCAGGCCCAAACTCAATATTTGTGCATTGACTGGCAGTGAATGTAAAATTGAGCAGACCTTGACACCAATTTGTCTCTATCTATTGTCCTAACAGAAATGAATCTGACCAGCTGGTCAGAAAACACCAGTGAACAGCAATAAACAAAAACAACCAAAAGTTCAAAACTGTAAAGTTGCATTAGTATGAAGATTATATAATCAAGTTCACACCAATCAAGGGTCATTTCTATCATCATTTTAATTTTTTTTCCCTTCTATCAGGTCAATTCTACACTAAACAAGGATTATTTTTTGATGTAAAAAATTAATGTATTTAGAAAGAGAGGAAAAAGTAGAGAAAGAGAAGAAGAGAAACATCGTCTGCAGTAATTAACAATAAATCAAGGAGAAAAAATAGCACAAAAGTGGGAATTTTGCTTCTACCACGGTAGATAACAGTAATTTATTAGAGTTCTCAGCTATATTTTTGCTACCTGTGATCTGGATTCTGCCCATTTCAAGTTTCATTCTTCTGGCTTCAGCTCAAAGATTTTCTATGATTTCCAGAAGCACTTTCTTAGAACTCCCACCAACTTCATAGGCCTTCCTAGCTTCTTCCTTCACCTTCTTTGCCTTTATCCTCAATGTTTTATCCTGCATCAACTGGACAATTTGATCCCCAATCTCCTCTCCCTTCACTAGATTCTCCCCCAGCCAACCCCAATGCCTCATCCATACTCCAAGGCCAGCCTTCTCTGCCACTTCTGCGTTCAACTTTTGGTCTCCATTTAGAGGCCAAGCCAGTATAGGCACCCCAAATCGAGCTGCTTCAGTTACAGAATTCCACCCACAATGGCTTACAAATCCTCCGATTGCTGGATGCGCAAAAACTTGCTCTTGCTCCACCCATCCTTTACAAACTAGCCCCTTCTTCTTTGTTCTTTCAAGAAATGAACTGCCAAGCAAATCTTGCAGATCTTCCCTCTCGTCTTTGTCAACTTTGGTAGTCTTTATTACCCAAAGAAATCTGCATCCACTTCTCTCCAGTCCGTTTCCGAGTTCCCTTATTTGTTCCTTTGACAATGCTGTTCTGCTTCCAAAACTAACATAGACTACAGACTCATTTGGTTGGCCATCTAGCCACTGCAGATAAGAGCCAGCTTTCACGACAGCCTTACAAGGCTCGTATGGTCCTATGGGGAGAAAAGGCGGTAAATGAGCCAGCACCCTGCCAGTATTCACTGCAGCAATTGTTTCAGACTCAAACCAATCAAAGCTATTAAGTAGAATACCGTTGGCTTTCGAGAGAAATTGAGCATTTAAACGGATGTGGGCTGTGAAAATATGATCTGGAGTAAAGAAGGGAGGAGGAAGGCTTGAAATTGGCACCGAAGCTAAACCCGGAAGCTGAATGCTAGAGTCTTCCGAACTTTTGCTTTCGAGTATCAAGTCAGGAAGACAAGCCATAAGCGAAAAAAATCTAGCTGAAGTGGTGGATACAATGTAAAGGGGGATAGATAATTCATCAGCTAGACGATTGATATCGGCTGCAACAGCAAAGTCAGCGAAGATGGCTGATAGAGGCGGAGTAGATAAGGAAGCCAAGAGAGGATGCAGGAGATGAACTGAGCTACTAATATCTAGAAATCGAGCAAAGAAAGGATCAGGTTTTTCAGCGTCTGCAAATTCGGATGGACTGCTGGGAATTGGGAGATGAAAATCAAGCCGATTGATTTGAGGGTGGGAAGCAAAGAAGGCAGACAATTCGTTGGACTCTGCACCAGAAACTGGAGGCTGAACAGCAATCAAGGTAACTCTGCATTGGCAATTAGGAGAAGCAAGCATGGCTGCCAATCT